GGTAGTCCTTTATTTTTTACTAATATGCTTAGAGTTATGAGATTATAGTGTATTTGAGAAAAATATGTGAAATTAAATGTGTGAGTATTCTACATATGTGTGAGTGTGTGCCTATGAGTGATAACTACTTGTCTAGTTCTAATCTTTCTATAGGCTCCCTGGTCTGTTTATGTGTTAAGCACTGAGAGAAAAGTGTTTAAAAATCCCATTTATGATTGTTTACTTATTCACTTTCTTCAATCATATGTTGAACTTGTATCATTAGGTACATGCAATGATAAAAATGTATATTACTAGTGGTTTGGAAAGTTAGATTAAATCTAACATTATGAAGCATGCTTCTTCAATTCCAGTAAAGGGCTTGCCTTATATTAAGACAGCACATGAACTGTAATAGTGTTCTACCAGTTCGTGAGGCATGGTATGTTTTTAAATATTTTATCTCCATCTTTTCTTTTTTAAATATTTCAGTTTTAATTTCAGTGGGTACATAGTAGTTGTATATGTTTCTTGGGTACATGAGTTGTTTTGAGACATACGTGCAATGCATAATAATGACATCATGTAAAAATGGTGTATCCATCTCCCTAAGGATTTATCCTTTGTGTTACAATCTAATTATATTCTTTAATTATTTTAAAATATACAATTAAATTATTATCAACTGTAGTGATTCTGTTGTGCTATCAAACACTAGGTCTCATTCATCCTTTCTAAATATTTTTATAGCCGTTAATTAAGCATTTTCACCTCCATACTACTACCCTTCCACTATCCTTCTCAATCTCTGGTAACCATCCTTCTACTCTCTCTCTCCATGAGTTCAATTGTTGTGATGTTTAAATCCCACAAGTAAGTGAGAGCATGTGATGATTGTCTTTCTGTGACTGGCTTATTTTACTGAACATAATGACCCCTGGTTCCATTCATGTTGTAGCAGATGACAGGGTCTCATTCTTTTTATGGCTGAATATTACTCCATTGTTTATATATACCGCATTTTCTTTGTCCATTCCTCTGTGGATGGGCACTCAGGTAGCTTCCACATCTTGGCTATCGTGAACAGTGCTGCAACAAACATGGGAGTACAGCTATCCCTCAGATATACTGATTTTCTTTCTTTTGCATATATACCTGGCAGTGGGATTGCCAGATCATATGGTAGTTCTACTTTCATATTCATTTTTCTTTATGCTTACGTGAAAAGAATGTCTCATAAAGACAACAGTTCTTACTGAATGTATACATTCTTTGCTTTTACCTTCAAATTACTCTCTACTTAATATAATTATCAATTTCTAAAAGATAATCCTTATGTATTTTATTTGTATTGAAATATAGAACCACAGGTGTTAATTATAACTTAATTTTATTACATTCTGATTGAACATTACCAAGTGTTTAAACTCTGTTGTTCACTTATGTTTTCATAATAAATATTTTCATTGTTTACTTTCCACATGCAAACTTGTTAATTTAATACAATTTACACTAAACCTGCTGGCACTTTGATCTTGGACCTCCCTGCTCTCTGAACTGTGAGTAATAAATCTGTATGGTTAATACATTGCTTGGTTTGTGATATTTTATTATACCAGTACAAACAAAGTAAGATTACTCTCTATTTTGTTTACCAGTTAGCCTGTATCTGCTCCCCAAATTCTAATATAAATATTTATTTCAGTGTTGGAAACTTTGTCATTAATACACTATTCAATATCCAGTTAGGTATATCCATGTAATTCCTTTAAGTCTTCTTTTTGAATATCCAAGTTTTCATTGGGAATCTGTGTTTAATCTATTGAAGATATTTAAATTTTATTTTCATTAATAACTAATTCACTCCAATTTCTTAAATTCCTTGAAAATTATTTTATTTCATGTTACATTAAAAGTACATTTTCAGTTCTTATTGACTTCCAACTTACCCATAACCCATAAGAAACCAGATATTGCCATTATTTGCAATAGTCATAGTAATACATATGTACGTTCGGCGTTAGGGTTCTCCTGAGTGACAGAACTAAGAGGATACGTGTATATATGAAAGGGGGTTTATTAGGGAGAATTGGATCACACAATCACAAGGCAAAGTCCCACAACAGGCCATCTGCAAGCTGGGGAAGAACGAAGCCAGTAGTGGCTCAGTTCGAGTTAAAAACCTCAAAGTCAGAGAAGCCAAAAGTGCAGCCTTCAGTCTGTGGCCGAAGTCCCAGGAGCCCCTGTAAAACCACTGGGGTAAGTACAAGAGTCCAAAGGCTGAAGAGCCTGGAGTCTGATGTCCAAGGGCAGGAGGGTTGGAAGGAAGCATCCAGCACGGGAGAAAAATCAAAGTCGAGCACTCAGCAAGGCAGCTTACCCCACCTTCTTCTAGCTGCTTTGTTCTACTGGCTCTGGCAGCCATTGGATGGTGTCCACCCACATTGAGGATGGGTCATCTTCGCCCAGTCCACTGACTCAAATATCAATCCCCTCTGCCAACACTGTCACAGATACAGCCAGAAACAACACTTTAGCAGCTATCTAGGCATCCTTCCATCCAATCCAGTTGACACCTAATATTAATCATTGTAAGTTCTGTATGTGTGTGTGTGTGTATTTAGGTCATATAAACATATATATACACACATCATATACAGTAAATTCTAATTACTCCAGTTATCTTGTGTAATTTTTCTTTTCTTTTTATATATTTATTGTGACTTTGTATAAGCATAAATTTCATTCACATTAAATGCTCAAACAGTAGAAACCTGTATTTCGATTAACAAAGAACATGATATACAGTCACATGGCACAAAATGTTTTGGTCAATGACAGACTGCACATAGATAGTGGTCCCATTAGATTATTACGGAGCTGAAAAATTCCTATGACTTAGTGATGTCATAGCAATAGTTGCAGTACAGTGTATTATTCACATGTCTGCGGTGATGCTGATGTAAACAAATCACCATGCTGCCCGTGGAATAAAGTATAGCACACACAATTACATACACTACATAACATTTGATAATGATAATACATAAACAGTGTTACTGGTTTATGTATTTAACGTAGTGTACTTTTAATTATTATTTTAGAGTGTACTCCTTTTACTTCTGCAAAATCAGTTACCTGAAAATCAACCTTGGGCAGGTCCTGCGGAGGAATTCCAGAAGGCGGCCTTGTTACCATAGGAGAGGACGGCTGCACATGTGTTATTGCCCCTGAACCTCCCAGTGGGACAAGATGTGGAGGGGATGACAGTGATATTGATCTGGATGACACTGTGTAGGCTTAGGCTAATGCGTGTGTTTGTGTTAGTTTTTTTAGAAGGTTAAAAAGAAAAATTAAAATGAAAAATAGAAAAAAGCTTGTAGAATAAGAATATAAAGAAAATAGTTTTTAAGGCTGTGCAATTTCTGTTTTTAAATAAAGGATATTTAAAAAGAGGCAGAAAGTTTTCAAAAATTGAAAAATTTAGAAACCA